TGTGGAAATAGGAATTTTTTTGACATGTATTCTGCTTATTAGTCTTCTAGAAAAATAAGATTTTTTTGTTACTATTTTTTAAAATCAAATATTAACATGATCACTGCCCTAGGTTTCATATAAAGTTATTATATAAATGTGGGGGCAGCAGATGGTGTGGTGGTTAAGGCACTGCACTCCCACATGGCTGACTGCGGTTCAAGTCTTGGACCCAGTATGTGTTCAGGCATGCTTTTCCAGAATCCCAAGAGGAGACTGAAGAAGAAGAGATTTCAGTGTGGTCATCCCCCCAGGAAATGATTCCTCACTTTCTCACTCTCTTTCAAGTGAGCATACATGCCCTATGGATAAACCTAAACAAAGCAAAACAAAGAAGTCATTATATGAATGCATAATTTTAGAAGAACGATGTCTTAGGCCATCAATCATATTTGTAAATGTACGTCACTGTTAAACCATCAGGCTCCGTTGAATTAACCTTAGAGTATAGAATTGCTGGATAAAATCAGGGATCAGAAAAATACTGGTAGTCTGGTAAATTTTCCGTTAGAAAAGAAGTCCCCTATTTCCCTTTGCATTAAAACTCTTAGTCATTTACCTCTTAAATGCTTTTCTTAAAATAGGTGAATGAAAACTGGCAAGTGCAAAGGAGAGCTCAAATCAAATGTGGCTTGAGGTGCTGCAGCGTCCGGAATCACCTCAGTGACAGTCAGAGAAGGTTCTCCCTTGAGTCCCACCACCCTGCAGATGAGCCACTGTACCGCATCGGTCTAAGAATGTCGTCTGGAAGACGAGTTGCACACAGAGCGCCTCCTTTGGCTTCTGTGGTGGAATGCCAGGATGGCGGGGTGCTGCGCATGGGAAGTGTTTGCCTAGTCAGCCACATCGGCCATAAGCATGGGGCTAACAACACTGGGGATTCCTCTGACCTCAGTCTGCGCTTAGGGTTCCATCCCAGAGCGGGTAGCTACCAATATAGGCTGCCCCAGTGCATGAGGGGGAAGAAGCCTACGGCATTGGTTGTGCTGTGACAAGACCCTCTGTCCTCATGCAGGCCCAGGTAGCCGCTGAGAGCTGGAGGCTGGCCTGTGTGGGACAAACTAGAACAGAGCTCCCCTCCAGATACAGGCCAGGACAATTCAGAGAAAAGCGAGGATTGGGATCCTTGGAACAAAACAGGCAGGAAGGAGGGCACTAGCAGTTCTGGAGGGTGGAGACTCACCCTGGCCCGTGTGCTTACAGTGGCCACTCCTGCTGCCTGCAGGGAGGTAGGACAGATGCTGGCCTCCCTCAGTTCTGTGCTTACGCGTGGTTCTTATTTTGGAGGAATCTACTGTACTTCCTAAAATGTGGAAGGTTTTACCTTGAAGGCATTTTTTGAGGAGGAAGAGAAGCTCTCATGGATGATCATTGTTATTTTTATTATTTCAGCTGCACCTAATAAGGAATCATATGTCCTAATTTGATGCAGCCCAATGTACGTTGGCTTTGCTCATTCCTTGCATTCTTTGGTGCACTCTTCTTCAAAGCGGATCTGGCAGAGACAAGGTCTGAAGAGTCTTTAGCAAAACAGATGGTCATTTTGCAGAAGCAAAGTACAGACAGGACTTACTTAACTGCGCCCTTGAGCATGGCACTGAAATCAGCTTCATGCAGCTGGGGAGGATCCTCTCCAATGGGGAGCCAGAGAGGCCACAAGGACTTCCCACATGCCCCAGGACTGGCACCACAGAGGCGATGCGTGAAGTGTGGCTCTGGGCAGGAAGCACCCACATGGTTAGAAAACGTGTGGAAATTACACCAATGTGAGAGCTGTGTAGCTCTCAAGGCTTGGGGCTGCTGCACACACTTACAGACCACAACACACATGCTTCTACACAGAGCACATGTGTTGCATGAATATTACATGCATGTACCACATACAGTACTCAGGCATAGAGATCACAAATGTAGATCACATACAAATCACACAGAAACAAGTATATGCTCATATATATATATATATCACATGCATCTGCTACACTGAAATTACATCCATGTACACACACTGCATACGTGTGTCAGAGATCACAACTTCTTACAGACTAAATGCCTGTATCATACACAGACCATATGTACATAGAGCAGTAGCCAAGGTTAATATTGTAATCATGCATGTAAAGGAGGGGAGATGAAATAATGGATGCATAAAGGGCTTTCTCAAGGGTGGCTATGGTGAGTGTTAGGAGCTCTCTGGCCCCTGCTGTCCAGGAAATGAAAATGAGTGGGACGCGTGGGACAGTGCTGAGGGCCTTCTCTAGTCTGCACAACCCTTTTACCCCATGCCTATGGCCATCTGTATTTTTTCAGAGAGAGAAACTCACTGCTTTGTTCTCTTTCCTAACTGTGTCCCGCTTTATCTTTCTATACACGCAATTTATCTTTCAGGTGTCAGGGTGCTAATCATCCAGCGTTCCTGTTGGCCTCCTGTAGTTAGAGCTCAGTGAGGGTAGACAAAGGCCCTGGCTGGATGCAGAACAAAATGCCACCTGTATTGTTATTTTGACTCTTTGGAGAACCTGCTTAGACCTGGGTCATTTGGCCAAAATTCCCAAGTTGAACCATCCCACCCCCTGGCCTTTCCCCCAGATGAAGGCCTTCCCTAACCCAGGGGTGGACCAACAGGTCCACGGTTTAGCTGAGAATGCAGAGATGAAAGTGACCCTCACTCCTGGAAGGAAGACCTTGGCGAGAGGAAGAAAGCCGGAGCTACACTTCATAGCAGCTATGTCTTCAAGACCCCCAATTGAGTAGGTTGTGCTCTTGTTGGGAAAAGTGAGCCCCCTGTGCAGAGGGAGGATAGCCATGATTCCTGGGAAGTCCCATCACCAGAACCTGCCAGTCCTAGTGGCTCTGTGTCACCATGAAAAAAAAGTAAGGTTTTTCGTTAAAAACCTACAAATAGAACTACTTTATGATCCAGCAACCTGTGGATTGGTGATGGATTTGATAAACTGATCTGTGTAGGAGAACACCATAAGGCAGAGCACAGGACCTTTGGGACAGATGCCTTGGCTTTGCTATTTAAGCCACTAGTGAGTGGTCTGGGGAGAGTTCAGGCCATGTGGAAGTGTTGAGGACATCTCATCACCGTGGTCCACCTACCAGTGACAGGCCTGAGGGCTAGCCCTGAGCACGGTGCTGTGTGAAGAGTGCCACGAGGTGAGAGCACGCACAGCAGAGACCACTGCCACGCCCTGTGGATGCGGACACAGATGGAACACTTCCTGAGAGCAGTTTTGTAAAATGTGTCAAGAACTTTAAAATACTCCTGGCTTTTGACTCAGTGAAAATGTTTTTAGTAATCGAGTCTAAAGAAATGATCAAATATGAAGCCAAAGCGTTATGCGTGACGTTGACCCCTATAGCATTAAATGAATGTACACAATATTAACAAAATAGTGAATGATGTGGCCCTAACTAAATGATGATATATATAGTCATAGAACTGAATATTACTAAGTGTTCAAAATTTTATTACCAAAACTTACATGATCTGAAAAAAGAACTTTGCTTAAGGATAAGTTTTTAAAAAAGTGAAGCACCAACTATATTAACAGTGAACTCAGCCCTTTTAAAATACGATGGAGGCCTCGACAAAGCAAAGACTGACCCCCGTTTTGAGAATACAGAGGGCATAAGGACAGCAGAGTTCTTCTGGGCAGGTCCGTTGCAGGCTTCTTTTTAGTTTTTCCTTATATTTTTCTGTTTCACTTCCAAATTTTAGTGAACAAGAAATTTTTTTATCATGTGAAGAATAAGGAGTACATCATAGCTATCTCTTCAAGATACTGATTTCCTTTCCTTTGTACGTACACCCCATAGTGAGACTGCTGGATCATGAAGTAGTTCTATCTGTAGCTTTCAAGGAAAAACCTCACTGTTGTTTTCATAGCGACTGGACTAATTTACATATCCAATAGTGCAAGAAAGTTCTCCTTTCTCCACAGCCTCATCGACACTTGTTATTCTTTGTTATTTTGTTAATAGTTATTCAAATAATAGGTTTTGGTTTGCATTTCACTGATAATGATGTTGAGCATTTTTCACGTACTTTTTAGGCATTTGTATGCCTTCTTTTAAGAATCGCTTGTTCAGATCAATTGCCTTTCTTTGTTTTTTTCATTTGGATTACTAGTTTTTTTGCTGATGAGATGTTTGAGTTCCTTGTACATTCTGGTTATTGATTTCTTGTTGGAAGTATAACTTGCAAATATTTTCTCCCATTGCTGTAGACAGTCTCTTCATTTCTTTATTGTTTTCATTGCTTTGTAATCGCTTCGTAGTTTTGTTGCAACTCTATTTGTCTACTTTTTGCTTTGTTACCTATGTTTTTGAGGTCTTATTTAAACAATTTTTTGCCTAGATCAATGTCCTGAAGTATTTCCCCTATGATTTTTTTGTAGTAATTTCATACTTTTGGATGTTATGTTTCAGTCTTTAATCCATTTTAGGTTAATGCTTGTATGTGGTGAGAGAAAGGAATCTAGTTTCATTTTTTTTTCATATGGATATCCCATTTTTCCAGTGTTTTTTTTTTTTTAATTGAAGAGATGATCCTTTCCTCAATAAATGTACTTGTGACATTTGTCAAAATCGAATTGACTGTATGCATTTGGGCTTTTTCTGGGTTCTCTATTCTTTTCCATGGTCTGTGTGTTTGTTTTTGTGTCTTTATCATGCAGTTTTGTTTGTTAGAGCTTTGCAGTGCATTTTAAAGCAGATAGTGTGATGCCTTCAGTTTTCTTTTTTTTACACAGGACTGCTTTGATTATTTGGGATCTTTTGCATTTCCATATGAATTTTATGATTTCTCTTTCTATTTCTGGGAAGGGTACCTTTGGCATTTTGATAGGCGTTTCATTGAATTAGTAATTTCTTTGGGTAATAGTGACCTTTTAGGATATTTTAAGAATATTAATTTTTCACTTACCCTACTGAGCACCCCTTTCTGTCTCTAGATCCTGGCCAATGTGATCATCTTCATCTGTGGGAACCTGGCAGGAGCCTACCATAAGCACCTCATGGAACTTGCTCTGCAGCAGACGTATCAGGACACGTGTAACTGCATCAAGTCCCGGATCAAGTTGGAATTTGAAAAACGTCAGCAGGTAAAATGCATTTTAATCTTATGTCCTCATTATTTTAGTCATTATTAAGAAGATATTGCTACTGTTAGTATCAAGCATGGAGTTCATTCATTCCTAGATGTCAGAAAGAAGCCAGAGCAGTCTATTGCCTGTGTCCAGCCCTGGGCTCTGGGAGTCGTAAACAGACGATCAGAGAGGGCATTGCCCAGTACAGCCTTCAGACCCAGTGACCCGAGGTCACACACATGCAGGCAGCTACGTCAACACATGACAGGGGAAATTCAAATAATCACACAACATTAAGACACTGGCTATTGGTGGTGTGAGTGCAAGAGTTTGCCCCAGCGGAAGAAGGAACCCTCCCTCTCACTTGCTGCCCTAGTACCTGTTGCCTCCTGGGACGAAATGGCTGAGATCATTTCTGAGGGGGCAATCAGAGGTAGGTGTAGTAAGGAGCCAATTGTTGCAATTTTCAGAGTCTGCTCTAGGGTGCTCCTTGTGGTGAGGCATAGAGATGCACATTAGGGAACCAGACTGAGGAAGCACTGCAAAAGATCAGCAATGAAGACAAGTAGGAGAAGGGGAGCAAAGTCCGTGGTGTCATCGGGGTGGCAGAGATCAGGCAAAGCAGATATGCTTAGTCAGAAAACCAGGGAGGGGTCCTGCATTTGGCATGCTTAACTTCAGGTGATGGCGGGATATCCATGGAGCAGCTTTGCAAGTCGTTGTCTGTGAGGGTGATACTTAGCAGGGCTGTCCAAGAACGCTGAACCCTTCACCTCAAGGGTTCATCACAACACCCATGCTGTTAGCAGGATTTGGCAAGTGGCAGATGCTTGATTATTGTTTGTTAAATTGTATTGAATTAGTCCTTTCTTTGAAATTCCAACAGAACGGTGGCTGGAGCAAAAGAGTATCTTTAAATTTGGCACTGGTTTTTGTTTGTGTGTGGGTAAATAATGATTGAATTTCTATTTGAAAACAGAGATGGTCATTCACTTCTTCAACAAATATTTACTGAGCACCAGGTTCGTATCAGGTCTGGTCCCTGGTACTGGGGTATGACCGTAAACATTGCTCTCTCTCCAGTGTTATTATCAAACCTCGTGGTCCATTTTTCATGGTAGCATTTTGTGTTATGACCTATATAACAAGGTATTCAGTATTTGATGGATTAAAATTCCTTGGTCTCTGTGTATATACAATGCTGGATTTAAAAATGAAGCGGCATAGACAGTTGTTAATTTGAGGCTGTTGTGCAGTTTATTTTCATATACCCGTGCTTGGTAATGCTTTACATTTGGATTCTAGAAAATTCCAGTTTCCACAGGCACCACTGTTCATGGTTTTGTACTCCATGCTACAGAGTTCAGTGGGAACTGCACCGGGCGAGCCTTGACAGACACAGTTAGCTTTCTTTTCCATCACGTCCAGACTGTACCTCAACCAGCCCCAAGGTTACAGAGAGCTGGAATTCTAGTAGACAGATTCTATAACCTAATATTTACAGTGACGGCTTTGACAAAACTTTGTCTTTATCTGTACTTCCTATGTCTCTGAGAACCCTAAGCTACCAAAATCCTATCACCTTGTCACTGAGGGCCCAAGTGTTTAGATGGGCCACACATTGACCTCATGTAGCTCTGTCTGATGTTCTAAACTTTATGGCAATGCCAGGGGAGATAGTAGAAGGGTGTGCATTCACTTCCTTTGCTTTTTAATAATTATTTTATTTATTATTATTATTATTATTATTATTATTATTATTATTATTATTATTTCATTTGCCCAAAAAAAGAGAGAGAGAAAGAGAGAAAGTGAGAAAGCAAGCCACCAGATCCAGGACTTGAACCACAGTCTGTCATGTAGGAGGCCAGCACCTTAACTACCATGTAACCTGCCTGTCCCTCACTTATTTTTTAAAAAGACACTAATGATCCCTTGTAAAATAAGGAAAGAGAAAAAAGACAGTATGAAGAATGTACTGCAGGCATACCCAGAAAAACCACATTGTGTGCTATAGAGATGCACAGTAATTAAATGTGAATAAGAAGTCATTAAATGAAAAAATAAAAAAGAACTTTCATTAGATATGTTGATAAAATATAATTTGTCATCACAATTGTATTTTGTCACAAAAATTAGAGGTTCACTTCTGTGGTCCAATGCCTAGTACGTAGTGATTTTCTTGTTAGGCTTTCAGCGAGTATTGCCCTAGAATACGTGTTTGTACTTTTTTAGACCAGCATATAATTGAATGGGGAGAAGAAATTATCTTGGTTAAACAAAAAAACCCTGATAATATGTAATCTGATAAATTTATGGTAACTAATAAAAATCGGTCGGTGGCAATCGGTGTGGCCCTCATAGAGGGAAGCAGTCCCTGAGATGACAAGGCCAGCAAGGCCACAGACCAGAAGAAGGACTTGGGTTCCACACGTCACTTCCTGCTTGGTCCACACCACTAACAGCGTTTGCTTCAAAAACAAACAGCAGTCTTTCAAAGTCCTTCACTCAGATGGGTTATGCGCTGAGCAGGCAGAAAGAACTTTGTTTCATTCGTCATTAGGATGAGCAAATACTGTCCAATTTAATGCTGCTTTTTGTCAGTTACCTCATAGTGTGGTGACCCTCCCAGAGGTTTGGTGACTGCCATTTTGAATCTTGACTGGCGTTGTTCACGGGTCACCTTCTGCTGCCCTTTGTCCTTGGAGAGGGATGCAAATGGCAGGAGAGCCTGGAAACCACCCTTTACAACTTCAGAAGGGAGCTAACAGTTGGCACTATCAACTGCTAAGTGTCTAGGGATTCTAAAATCTCTGCAAAATTGTTCAAATTTGTACTTTTTTCCCTTCAAATTTTGTGATTTTTTTTTTTTTCCATAGAAGCGAGTATCAAGATAAAGATTAGAAGCCGTGTTTGAATGAAGTGGCTATGCGTAGAAGATTTGGGGGCAGCAGGGAATGATAAATATTGGCAGAGATTTCCTCATGTGTCTTCATGTGTGAACAGTAATAATCATGGCTGTTCACATGTGGGAGAGGCAGTGCATTGCATTAGAATCAAGGCTGCTGGAGACTGAAGCTGTTCACCTTTATGAGTTTTTACTTTTGCCTTCAGTTTCACATTCTAGGGACTGGATGGTGGCACAGCAGTGCAATGAAAGCTCTGTCAAGCTAACCTGCATGGGAAGTTCTCGTGTCCAGAATCTTCCCTAAGGATGTTGGTCCAGTACTGGCTTAAGCTGAGGGTGGACTGTGGCATCAAGACCCTGTGGGGATGATGTCTCTTTCTCTGTTTTGCTCCATCTCTCTCTCACTTGCTCATAGAAGAAGAAGGAAATAAATAAACTTTTTAAAAATGTTTCACGATCTGCCATAAAAGCCACAGCCATTTCTTGAGCGCCGTGTGTGGGGCCACAGATGGCTCTTTGTCAGACCTGAGGGAACAGCGAGGGCTTTCCCCTGGAGAATATAGCAGTCTCTCAGGAATTGATGAGAGCTGGATTCAGAGCAAAACAAGAACCCTGTCTCCTAATTGCCTTGGCAGTTGAAATAAATGTTGCGTCTGTAGGTGTAGAATCTGGGTTTGCATTTTTGTAGATAATAAACTCTTTAAATTATATATTATCTGTGTTTCAAAGTCATTACAATTTTTGTATATAGACTGCTTTAATCTGGAGCCATCCCATGCATTGAATATGACAGAATATGCATCTCACTGAAAAGTGCAAGTCGGATGAGAAACGAGACCGCATTACACCTGGATCCTGCGCCTCTGTGCAGGCCTTGGTGATCTAGTCCGCTTCCCAGCTGTCCTTGTGTGCAGAACTCTTTTCCTCGCTGCAGACTCCGATGGAAGAAGCGAGCCGTCCTTGTGTGACCATGGCTGGGTAGATAGCGGACATGTCCATCTTTACCCTGATGTGATCACAGGCCATATCGTTGCATGATCAAATGCATTGCATAACTCATTTATGTTGCTGAGCAGAAAGGCAGAATGTTTTCAAAGTTGTTCTAGATTGGGCTGCTAAAGGCTGTGTGGTCCTTTGTTGTTGTTGTTCTTTCCTCATGATAAAACAGATCAGAAGCGACTAATGTGTCTGAGTTCTTAGAATATACCAGGTGGTCTGTTTGATTCTTCTGTATGTAATGTGGTATCAGATTCCTTTGGCTAGGGACCAGCAGTTAGCGTAATGGCTATGTCACTTGACTCCCATGTAGTCGACTACAGTTCAGTCCTGGACCTGGTGGCTTAAACTCATGCTGGGCGCATGTGCGTGTGTGCCCTAGATACCGAGAGGAGAAAGGAGGAGAAGGGATTGCGGTATGGCCATCCCCCCTGGGGAGGTGATTTCTCTCTTTCTGTCTCTCTGTCTTTCTGGTGAGCGCACGTGCCCTATAGCAAAGAGGCGCGGGCCCCATAAAAAAAAACAACCAAAAAAAAAAAAAAAAAAAAAAGATTCCTATGGCTATTGTAACAAATGGCCACAAACTTGGTGGCTTAAAACGAGATGAAGGGGCAGCTCTATGGCTGAGTTAATGTGCTGCTCAGGAGGAAGCTGATCCCACATGGCAACCATGGTTCAGATCCCTGTTCAGTCCTCCTGAAACAAGACAAACACAGAGCAGTGTCCAAGATTCAGTGGACCGAGCACTGGAGGAAGGGGATAGTAGCATGACCAGACTGTGTGGAGAGTGTCTTTCTCTCCCTCCCTCTCTCTCTCTCCCATGCATGCACTCTATCATTAATAAAGAATAAAATACATAGTGACTGGCAGGTGGCATAGTGGTTAAGGTGCTGTATTCTCCCACATGGTCAACTGCAGTTGTAGTCCTAGACCTGGAAGCTTGCTTTCTCATTCTCTCTCTCTCTCTCTCTCTCTCTCTCTCTCTCCTTGCTCTGTCTCTCTCTGGTCAAATTGAAATAAATAAATAAAGTTAAATAAAATAAAATAATTCTTTAGATGAAAAAAAGAATAGAGTAGATTTATTATCTCACACTGTTCATCTTCTAGATGT